CCACCTTCTTGATGGTCCAATTATCACTGTAACTTCCAGTCCATCAAAGTCTTTGAACATGCATTTGAAAGAAACATCAGTTCCTTTCAGTCATCCACATATCAGGGATCCCAGATGACTGGGGGGAAAACCCTCATTCACATGTTATAGCTTTCTTTTGATGTAACTACTTTAAACCTTTTGTTATCATGACCCAAAGACAAACGTAATGAAAAGTAGCAGTTACTGTGATGATCTCACAATTCATGCGATCTGCCATAATTGTTCTAATTTCTTTTTGTTTTTTGTTTTTTCTTTTGCAGAGGTAGAAGCTTTCAAAAAGCCTTTTGGGTAAGTGGGAAAAACCCTTTCGAAAGCCATTTTGTCCTTTTATTTGGCGTGATAGATGACTGTGTTTCTCTTTAAGTCTATTTGCTGATTTCAGCAAAGAATACAATGAGCTTAGTTTGCAAGACCCAGGTCCATCACATGGAACTGGTACTTATGTTAAGCTCTAGCAGCCACCTTCTGTGGAAAAAAATGGTTTGTAAAGCAATAACCATAATCAGGTTATGAGGTCCCTTGGTTGGGGGGGAAAGTATTATCAAGACTTGGCACAGCACATGAAAAGCAACATGTAAAGTTTCTAGGATATAAGCAAACATCAGACTATGTTAGTTTCAAATACACCATTATTGTACCATTGTAATTTGGGGTTTGGAGCTGTAGGAAGGGAGGGACAGAGGGAGGGAAGGAGGAGGAGGAGAAGAAAAACAGGAGAAGGAGAAACAGCATTCCAACAATTTGGCCTGTGCAAGTCTTCCAAAGGGAGTGTATTGTTAGTGTTAGTATCCCGTATAAACAGAGGCAGAATTCTATGTAACTTTGGTTTGACTGAAAATAAATACCATGGACTACAATTGCTATATTCTTTGCTTTCATTGTAAAAACTCACCTAGATTACTTTAAATCAATACGAAATTAATTTTTGGCTTTACTAGACCTTTTTTTATGTTTGGTTCCTACTTTTTTTGTCATTTATAACTTAAGACTATAAAAAGTAGCACACAACGAAGTTTAAGACCATACAAGACTTCTTCCAACAACATGTATTCATCACGGGGAGCGGGGAGCGGGCAGGGATGGGGGAAACCAGTCTGGATGGGGAGGGAACATAATTAAAAAAAACATATTTTACATAACAATATGCAATCTGCATTTGCATCAAGTACATCATTGTTTTGGTCAGTGATCCATGTTTGTTGCTTTCTATTGTTAACTTCTGCCCAGACTTTGTTCTCACCTCTGTTCTAAAATGAAAACAAATCTTCACTGCATTGAGGTTGACTTTTGGCCTCAGAAGATTACACTGTGACAAAATTGACTTTTTCCCCCATATTTATTTCTTGGTCTAGGGCTAAATGAAAAGATCCCAGAGGTCATCAGAAAACAGCAGGTAGTTCATGGAAAGGTTCCTTTGTACTAATTAAAGTTACAGAAGGCTGACCAAAGCATGGGGCTGCTTCTGTCATTGAGCTATTGGCCATTGTTAGAGTAGGCTTTGGTTTGCAGCTGTAGCCTTTGACTGTGTTTGCAGGTAGACAAAGCTTTATCCCAAGGAGGTAAAGAGTACAGTGGTAAGATATATGCAGATATGCAAATGGTTCTATGGTGCTTGCACAGACAATGTTAGCTTAGGATTGCACTTTACATCTTAACACTAACAGCACAGACTGGAAGCTTAGAAGATTTTAGATGGTTGCAACAGTCTAATTACTGTGGTTGGTTAGAACTAACTTATGTCATTTACAGTTGGTGGCACCAACATAAAAAACTAATGTTCTGTAGTTTAAAATTCAGCTAGATACAAGCAGTGACACTAATTTCTGATACTACTCCTGTGCAAATTAAAAACAATAGCAACAAGTTGAACTTGACCAGCAATTGTTTCTAACATTATTACAACTACTGTATGCTGGAATTTTCACATTGATGAAACTAACACTATTTTTGGCAGTATATGAGGCCCATTTGCTTTCTACAGAACATGTATCCTCATATTCAGTCATGTCATGAACCCTTGATAGCCACATTTTTTAAATGGGCAAGCCATTATATATAAACAGTTTTGTTTTTCAAGAAAATCAGTTTATCTTTAAAAAAAGAAAGGAAAAAAAATGAAAAAAAACACAAGCTATTTGCCTGCTTGTAATTGGATTCCCAAAGGGCTGGCTTAATGAGTTCCTTTAGGATTGTTCTCCTTTATCCATGCTTAATAAATAGTCACAGTAAAAATTTGTCAAATATTCATGGTTATGGAGTGGTTGGGAAGGTCAGTGTTATGTCCCTTCATTTTGAGGTTTCCAAAGTCTCTGTTCATTCCAGATCTTCAGATAAAGGCTCTTCTTCAATTTCTCTATCATCTTCCAATTCTGGACTGTGATTTGCTGTTGTCACCAAAGACATTGGACAGTCTTCATCCTCAGCAGTCACTGGCTCTTCTTTGACGTGGATTGAGTGT